TTTTCCAGAACAAAGTAATCCAAACTTTTAAATGAGTGAAATTTGGCTCTCTCAAGTCATTCACAAAGACATCCTATGCCACACAGAACACCACAGAGCTCCAAAACTATTAGGGTTTTCTACACTGTTCATGTCAAGAAAAACATTGAACAGATACACAGGTTAGCATACATGATTCAATAGGTAGAGCTGATTTACTCCATGGAAGATTTCATTTTTGGAAGTCATCTGAAATTTAAATTCCAACCTGCTCAGTGAGTGACCATCCTGAGGTCTGACAATGAGCTCTTAAAAGAAGAGATTTGGACTCCTTGGGCTGAAATGTTTTCTCTATTAAGTGAGCCCACAGTCGTCTCCCAGCTCTTAGCTTAGCTATTTCCATGTAGAAGTTCATACCAATTCCCCAGAAGAAGGAAAGTCTGCAATAAGAGTACACAAACAGGACTTTAATTGTATAGAATAATATGTGATAAGATAGTACCTAGAATTCTCCAGTAGATGCAAGAATAATTAATCAAGTAAGTTCCATGGTGCGCACTGCAAAATATGCACAAATAATTGGGATGAAATGGGCCCCCTGGTTCATCCATGGACAAATGGGGTACAAGGCCTTTCAACTACATAGCTCCAATTGGAGTTATTTTCAACTGGTAGCCTATGTAATGGCCCCAACACTTTCTACTAGTCACAATTTCAACTGCTTAGGGGCTGGGGTGGGAAACCAGGAATGAGCTCTCCATGCTTCTATAGTTTTCTCTACTGTGGAATCAGATGACTTTGGGGGGGAAAAAACTCACTAGATCTTTCTCTGCCTCAATTTCCCTATATATATACAGGCAAGCTACCTACCAGGCAGGTAAGCCGAGGGATTTAGCTAGCATAAGAATTTTCTAATAAAAGGAGTGAGTCCTTTAAAAACAAACCAATTTCTAGAAAAAGGGACAAGTATAGACCAGATGTGAAGAATAAGTTACTCCCTCAAACTCTGAGATGCTAACAGGACAGTCCATGGAAATTTAAATATTTTCTATGTCTATGAGTGAATCCAGGTCTATTTTTTTCCTGGGACATCAACATGGCAACCGTAGTACAAATGAAAAATCCACTGCCTATATTTACAGACTACAAGGGCTATGTGAAATAGTATTTTCTGGAAGGCTTAGCATATTTGCTTGAATAAAATGTATTAATTTGTTATTATTTTTCAGTTAGAGAATCTAATTATTGGAGGTTTGCCTTGAATTTGTCCCTTTCCTACTGCCATAGCAGGGAAAATAAATTGGGAGGGGGGGGCCCTCAGGTAGCCCCTTTGCGCCCCCCCCCCCAGTTTTTTCCCCTGCAGCCCCTTCTCCCCTCCTGTCAGATCCTGCTGTCCCTGAGCACATGGAAATGAGGGGCAAAACTGAAAACACTGACCTTGAAATAAACATACCGGCAATAACATGGATACAGGGAAATTATTGCAGGTACCCATAAACTTAGCTCATCCATAATTTATGCATTTTACTTTTTTGGAAAGGCTGCAAGTTTTAGCACAGATACTCCATAAACAAACTTGTAAGCAAAACTTTTGTACCTATTTATATACAGTACAGACTATGCATGATATCAGTCCAAAGTCAAATACCTCATGATTTATCATATTATTCAAGTCTCATGAGTTACCATATATTGCCATACCCCAGCAGAGTCATTAGCAATTCAAGCTATGGTGACCCCACAGCTCAGAACTGCTCAGTATGTGTGCACTCCAGATACGCCCCCAACAAAGGATCCATTTGCTAATTAGTCCCCCAACTCATGACTGGAACTACATGCCCTTGTCACAAATCCTGCGATTCTCAAAAAAAAAAATGTATATGCAGATGAAGTGCGGGACCACCTGGTCCAGCTCCATCTTATGAAGAATGGGGCCACACTAATAATATGTACCATGCTGAGAAGGGGCAACCAAGGGATTCTGGGGGAACTGTTTGGAGCCCTGTTTGGTAATGTTTCCCAGACATTAAAGGCTGATGAAAAAACAGGAATCATTGAAAATGGGAAAGAAAACTGCAGCTCAGATGTGGGTGTGAAGAGGAAGTTGAAATATATTTGATGCAATGGACTTGTCATGACTTAAAAAGAGTAGGTGTTGAGGGGGACTGAACACAATGGATATATCCTATTAAAAAAAAAAATCAGTATGTTTGCTCTAAAAACAATCTGTTTTATAGCAATGCTCAGCATTGGTAGCATTTAATGAACTTCCTAGTTGATTTCTATTACTGAATACATGCTGCTTTTGGCAGTAGTTTAATGACAGACAATATATTTATTGGGGGAAAAAAAGCTTGTCTTGTATTCAAGTAAATACAGTATGTCATCTCATTGTCAACATTTCATTTTAATTTGTTTGGTATTAATGGTCCTATTAAAAAAATCAGGGTCCTATTTTTCCCCTCAATGAAAATCTAAGTCCTGTTAGAATTCATAGAAGTTACAAGGGCAACTGAAATATGCTGCTGCTTGACCTTTTGAGTTCTTATTTCTTGACAGAAATATACATTATGCTGGTTGATCTACTTTAATTGTCACCATCTGTAACTTCTATGCTTCCATAGCAGTGAGGAAAGATTAGCTGAGGCAAGATAAATGAAGTACAAATTTTTACTAGTGAAAAAGTTAATTAAGTTGTTCTAATCAGTGGTTACCAAGGAATGTGGAGCATGTGTATAAATGCTCTAAGTGTCCATTGTACTACCCCCTTTACTTTGCAATTATACATCAGGAAGTCAACATGCGATAAGTATATTAGCCTTGTACCTTTATTCAGTTTCTAAAAAGTAAGCTATTTTAAAGATTATTTATACTTTACTTCAAAGCTTATTTTAATTACCTTGGTGCAAATTCATCAATAGTGAGGCCAGCCCGCAGCCCAGTTCTGCAGTACTCCAAACCATCAGCTATAGTATAAGCCAATTCCAAAATGGCATCAGCACCTGCCTCCTGCATATGGTACCCACTGATAGAAATGGAATTGAATTTTGGCATATGCTGTACAAATAAAAAAGCAACAGTTATAGTTTCATTAGCTCCCCCTTGCTCTGCATTTCAAAAATAAAATGTATTGTCTTTGTGTTCGAGATTTTACACAACTGGCCCTAACCTTCGCCTCTACCCATTGTTTCCAACTAGCAGAATACCTTATTCTGTGCTGGCCTCTATGTTTACAGTAGCATCCCTATGCATGAGGTTTTCTCCTTTAATCATTCAATTCCTTCCCAAATCTCCAGTTTTCTTTGTTATCCATAAATAGCATATATAACATTTGCATAGTAATAGAGATGTACATATTTCATTGAAAAATGATTCCACAATCTTATTACTGTAACCCTTGTTCAATCCCACCTCATCGTCAATCCTCTCACTGCTTGTTACTAGCTCTTGTGGTGTCTGTCTTTGTCCTGAAAAGTGTTTTGTGCACTGCATAAATAGTTCATTATTGTAACAGTAATAGAAGTGAGTGAACTACAATAAAATGATACCTTTGATGTGTACTGAAAGATGTCTGCAATAATCCTCATTGATGGTTCTGGAGGGAAAATGTAAGTGTTTCGCACCATGAACTCCTTTAGTATGTCATTCTGGATTGTCCCTGTCAGCTTGGCTTGAGGCACTCCTTGCTCTTCCCCAGTTACAACAAACATTGCCAGGATAGGAATTACTGCCCCATTCATTGTCATAGAAACAGACATTTTCTCTAAAGGAATTCCATCAAAAAGGATCTTGGTGTCCTCCACCGTATCAATGGCAACTCCTGCCATTCCAACATCACCGCGGACTCGAGGATTGTCCGAGTCGTAGCCACGGTGGGTTGCCAGATCAAAAGCAACCGACAATCCCTGCTGGCCAGCTGGGTCCCCCATAAAAGAAAGATGAATTACAACAGTTAAAACAGGTATGCTTTAGGAACTGAGTCTAATTTAGTTTTCATAGTCAGGGTCTGGCGTGATCCAATTTGTAGTGTCACACTGTGTCCCCTCCCCAGACTTCTCTGGAGCCTAATGTTCTGAATGTGAACGGATGCAGTACAGTGTCTGTTGTCGGAAAGAATGAAACAAAAAAAACACTTTACGAGTCAAATGCTGATAAACTCAGACATGAAAGGTCTTGTATACAGTAGAGCTGCCATGACTCTACCTGGCAGCACAAACAGGCTGCACGGTGCAGTGTCATTTGGGAAATTTAATAGCTTTACAAAGGCAGTGCTCTGGAGCAGCCAGAAGACGGACCATTATTTAAATCCAAAATTTTAACCTCTCCACATTCCAGCCGGTCCCACAATTCCTGGGCACAACAGCAGATGGTAATTTAAAGTACACTTTTGTTTACTTCACAGGTGATCATCAGGGGTCCTGGTTTTCTATGTTTAAAAACTGTAAATTTTGGGATTAAAAATTGCCAAATTCTCCAATTTAAAAACCCCCAAATTTGCATTTTTCCGCAATGAAAATGAAACATCACTATATATATATATATATATATGCCAATTTAACACAATGGTTTATTGATATATTTACCATTTTAAAGATATTTGGAAGCCTACCAATGCCCCAATCATAAAAAAAATTCTAAATACCTATATATTTTTGCATTTGATTTTTTTTTGTTTTTACCATGGAAAATCAGAGGCCCTGCCCCCGACTCCTTCACTCATCAGGATGTGGGTTCAGCTGCAACTGTCCCTCTACTGCTTTGTGGCACTGAATAACCATGATGCTGGTGTCTTGCCCATGCTGTTTGCTCCTCACTCCCAACACGCCCCCCCACCCCCGCTTAGGTCCCAGACCTTTGCAAGGGCAGTAGCAATACTGTGAGTTCTTTGCTGTAAGCAGTTCTTTAATACGTTCCTGGAAATAAAGTGCTGTTTCCACAACACAAGCCTCAACAAGATACCACCAGCAGCTTACTTGCGGCTTCTGGCACAAGCTATAGTGCTCAGCAAATAGCTATGGCTGCGAGAGGGTTAACACAGTAAGTGGTAGGCACAGTGTTTCCAGGGTTCCTTCTTTTCCAGGGTCAGAGCAAACATGTAGTACTTGCCTCAGGGTAGACCAGGGCTGGAGCCAGAGGGTAAGCAGCAAGCTGGTGGGGGAGAGCCAGCTGGGGGACAGATGGGGGAGTGAGGGGGGCACTGTGGCTGGCAAGGGAGGCAAGAGACAGCAGGGGAGGCAGATGAGGGAGCAGAGGGTAGGGGTAGGCAGCAGCTGCTGCTCTGGCCCCCAATGCCAAGTAGGGACCAGTCACAGCAGCTGCCTGTCCCCACCACTGCCTCGTGCTCAAATTTAAGACTAGGGGCTTTTTTCCTCTTTATTAAATGGAGAAAAAAAATCTGGTCTTGGAATTGTGTAAATTCAGTCATTGAAAATGTCACTTCTAGGAAACTGGCCTACCTAGTAAAGCACAGTGGGCACATCTACACATGCCTCTACAGCAGCATTGTTACTGTGCCATCATTTAGTAGCTCCTTTTGGAAGTACTAAATGACGGCGCAGTAACAGCTGTTATTATGTCATGCTAGCAGCTCATGGTCATTTTTAGCCCTTACGTCACTGTAGCGATGCACTAAAGTGATGGAGCATGTTGCTACAGCGTCATGGTTTGTGCCAGCCGATGCTATGGCACCACAGTGCATTGCACGGCAATGTAGTGTCACGTGTAGATGCTCCCGGTATGTTTGAAATATACATTATGATGTTTGAACTTAAAAGTGCCAGGATGCACTAATGTGAAAGAGCTTTAGTGAAACTCACAAAGCTCAACCGATTTTATGCCACAAATCTGTCCCCCGTCATGATCACAACACTTGTTCCTGGATCTTGGCAGTCTCCTTGCTAACTTGAGCTTGGCACACAGCTAGATTAATACCTTTACATTGGCAGGAGCTGAAAGTTAATCATTACATTTACAACATTAATTTTCTCTGTCTCAATAGCAAAATGAAACAAAGGTTTCTAGGTGTTATTAAAATAGTGGTACAACAAAAATTGTCAGAATTCAGTCCACATGAGGCTAAATAATCATACTGGTTTCCTGTGCAATGACATTTTACAGGCCAACTTTTTCTCCTCTCTAACTTGGGTAGGTTAAACTTTACCCTTGATGTTGTCCTTGTAGAACTTGTTGCTCTCCTCTACCGTACTGAAGCCAGCATACTGGCGGATGGTCCACGGTCTGTGCGTATACATTGTAGGGTATGGCCCCCGTGTGAAAGGCATCACTCCTGGCAGCTCCTCAGCAAAGTCCTTTGTGTCTCTGCTGGAGTACAGTGGCTTGATGGAGATCCCTTCTGGAGTATGCCACATCAAGTCCTCAGCATTTTTCCCTTTCAGCTGCTTTTTAGCTATAGCGGCCCACTCTGGGTGCAGGCAGCGGCTCATGAGTCGGGAAGCTCCCAGCCCCGCCATCTGCATGGAGTGGCAGGGCCAGAAGCGCAAGAGCCCATCTTTGACTCTCCACATGTCCGGTTCTGTGGGTGACCAATATCAGATGAGCTGAGAAAAATCAGAAAGACCAGTTAAAAAAACCCCAAAAGAGTAAATACTTTCTATTGCAAACATATCAAATAGAGAAACGGAGCACCACATGGCTTGTCTTGAGTCAGAAAGCAGGTCACCGGCAAGGAAATATTCAAGAGGAGGTTGGACGATCACCTGTCTGGGGTCTTGTGAACCCAGCATGCATTCCTGCCTGTGGCAGGGGGTCAGGCTAGATGATCTGTTCAGGCCCCTCCTTACCCTAGCTACTATGATACTATGAACGAACCAGAAAAGAAGCCAACGCCTGTCTTCACCACTTACGGCGCTGACAAACACGGAAAAACAAAACACAACAGAACAAAAAACGTGCTTTACCAGAAGTAGCAGTGCATTCATTCAACCTGGCTCCGCAACATCAGTATAGATCATGCGCTTCAACAGGGCTTTTTGGCACTTTTAACTAAAGCTGATTCAATCAGCTATTGTATAAATGCTGAAAAAACTCCGTTAAAGTGCCTGATCTATACAGATGTTGGGTGAACCGGGTCCAACTAACACGATACCTCTTCTGGGCATGTGCTGGACTGGGCGTGGCGGCACGTGGAGTTTAAAGTAAAGTGCCATTTTTGGGGGTTTTCTTTTAATGTCTGTAAGCTGCCTTAATGACTACAATCCTCTCAACAACAAACCTCAATACTTAACCCGGATTTAACTGTTGCGATAACCTGAAGAGAAAGAGATTTTCCTCTATTTGGGCCCAGCATAATCAAACGAGCAAATTTTGATACCCTGATTATGCATAATCCTTTAGTGTTGCTCATCTCAGTCCCTATCATTAAACCAGTCGTAGGATCGTAGGAAAATGGGGCTGGAAGGGACCTTACAAGGTCATTGAGTCCAGCCCCCTGCTCAAGGCAGGACCATGCCTAACTACACCATCCCAGCCAGGTGTTTGCCTAGTCTGCTTTTGACATTTTCTAGGGATGGAAATTGCAGAGATTCCCTGCTCCAACGCCTGACCGCTCTCCTCACGAAAAGGTGGAGACAAGAAGAGCCTGCCACTCGCTCACCAAACCCAACACCGAAAAGGATCTCAGTTCATTTTTTAATGGGCGGCGGGGAACCAGAAAGCCAGCTAAAAAACGTGCGCTGCGTAGCCGGGCGCCACTTAGGGCAAGGACCGCGGCTCAGTTTGTCAGTCTCGGCCCTTTCAGACTCAAGGGCCAGGGGCAGACGTTGCGCATTAACCGGTTTAAAGCAATCAGAAACAGGTTTAAAACCGTCACAGAACAGACATTCGCGCATATAAACCAGCTTCAAATGGCTGAAACCGGTTTGAGATCAACCTGGTTAAAGGCAGTCTCAGACTGAACCGATTTGGCTCGATGCAACGTCTGTCCCCTCCCCGATGGGCAGGATTCCCGCCAGCGCCCAGCAGAGCCCCGATGTCTCGGGCGCCCCCATTGGCTGCGCAAATGGTTCTCGACACCCCCCCCCCCCCAACCCGGCC